ACAACCTATATATTAAATTTACTATAGATCGGTACCATTTCGATACCAGTTCGATACCAGTTCGGTACTTTTTCGGAATCCTACTTGTGATAAAAAGTATTTAACATTTTTTTTTGCTTAAAATTATCATAAAAGAAAAATTTTTAACAAAACAGATATAATTAAAAGAGAGTTTTTTGATTTTAAATAATAAGTAACTTTTTAATTAAAAATTTTTAAATGTTATATAAAAAAATACTCTATAATTTAAAGAATAAATAAGTATATAATATAAGACTTTATTAATTAAATATTAATTTTGTTATTATATTAAATATTTATTTAAATTAATACTAGTCTATTGTATATATAACTTTTAAAATAATATTATATTAAGTAAGTAATATTATATCAAAGTAATTTATAAACATTTTATCTTTATTTATAAACAATTAAGTTAAGAAAGAAAATAATAAAAATTTTTATAATTGAATTTTAAACATATTGTTTGAATTTATAAAACTATAATAGCAGCTGTTTTTTTGAAAATATTTAATTAGGTTTTGGATTTGTTGCTTAAATTTATAAAACTATATATCAACTATTTAAAAGTTAAATAAGATATATAAAAAAACTGTATTTTTATATAACTGTAATATTAATATTGTTGAGGTAATTAAAAAAACTATTAAAATAATTTTATTAAATAATGTTATTATTATTATTGTAAATAGATTTGAATTAGTTTAATTGTTATAAAATATGATTATTAAATTTTGATTAGTTGTTAAGTTTATATTGATTATTTGAAAAAGTAGAACTAATTTTAATTTTTTATATTGTAAAAAATTTTATAAATTTTTGAGTAATATAGCATTATATATTATAAAAAAATTGAAAAGATTTAATTGAAACAAACAAAAAATTTAATAACTTTATTTAAATTTAATTTTAAAAATAAATTTATAATATAGAAAATTAATATAAGAATAATATTATAATTATTAAAAAGAAAAAAGTGCATAAAAACAAATTATAAAAGAAAATTATTATAGGCTTTTTTTTATACAACCAAAAAGCAAACAAGACTTTCAAACTTGTTTAACCTTTGATTAAAAATTATATTCTAATACAACAATAATTCTTAAAGTCTTAATATTTTTGAGCTTATGGTATATTTAATATATTGAAAAAAAAAAGAAAAATATTTCTTTCAAAAAAATTAGTAATAAACAAGTAAGAGTTATTATTATTATTATTATTGTTATTATTATTATTATTATAAATTTTATTTATTAATTGTTCTGTATTTAATAATAAAAAATTATTATAATATTATTTTTTTCATACTGTATATATTTTTTTTCTATTTTTTTTTTAACTGTAGTCTTTATTAATTTTAAAAATTATAATCTTTATAATAGAAAAATTATATTTTAATATTAATAAATAAAAATTTTTTTTATTTTTTTCTAAAGATATAAATTATATAGATAAACCTATATCTATAGTAATATCTGATATATGCTATTGTTTTTTAGATTTTATTAATATATATTAATTAATTATTATTTTATTATTTTTTATTTTTTATTAAAGATTTAACAATAGAAAAAAATATAAGTTTTATAAATTGTATACAAAGCGCCTTTGTTTTACAAATTTTCATGCGTCTTTTATCCATATTTGATTATACGTTTCAAGAACCTAATAAAGAAAAACCTCTGCATTTATATATCAGATGTCAGGCATTTTATGACATGATTTTTACAAACAAATAGGATTTAATTTAGATAAAAATGTAAAATGAAGACCTCAATGTTTACGTGATCAGCAAATCAAAGGATATAAAATACCATATAATAAGTTTTGCTCCTTTAACTTCATTATTTATATAAACCTTCATAGGGAATAGGGGCCATTCAACTTTTTCCGTAAACATGGCATTAGTAACATCTCTTCGTCAACAAATATTAATAAGAAGCAATCTTAGCAGATCAATTCAAAATTTTGATCAAGCTTTTAAATTTCGTTGTTCCAGGATCTTGCCAGCAATTACAATAAGACCTTATTCTTCGTCGTCTTCTTCCTCATCAAATAGTACTAAACGAACAACTGCACCCGCTACTCCACAAAAAAAAGAACTGTCCTTCGTACATGTGAATCAAATTCGTCCACGAGACCTTGCGCAAAGTACTTTTTTTGCACTCCATAGACCCCTGTTATCTTTTGGCAATGAACTTATGCAACAAAGCGTGGAAAGTACCCAACAACAGGATTGGGAAGAAGAAGGGGGTAAATATATATAATTAATCCTTCAAATTTCATTAAGCAATATAACATTTTCATTTAATCTATATTTTTTTATCACATTAAATCTAGACTTTGAGGAAGAAAGTTTAGCGTCATCTAATACATCCTCTCTTACAAACCCTCTTTCCCCTTATTTAACCTCATCTCCACTCCATCCTGCACAATCAACAATATCAATAACATCATCTGAGTCAGAAGTAATTGCAAATAAATTTCTGGACGACATAGAATCAAAAGTCAGAGAGGAGGAAACAGATACATCAACAGAAGATGTTAGGAAAGGATCTGCAATAACCAACTCCCAAGATCAATTAACTACAAATCCAGAGGAGTCAGAAAGAAAAAATCGAAAGATTACAGACATTATACGAAAAAGAAAATTGTATCTGACGAACATTATACAAAAGAGAAGATTAAAGATGAATAAGCATAAAAATAAGAAGCTGAGAAAGAGACAGCGCGCTTTAAGGAAAAGGCTTGGAAAATAAATTTTTTTTAGATTATAATTTCTAATTAATACCTATAAAGGTTAATCGAATAGAATTACTTTTTTTTTTTTTTACTGAACGTGTCTATAAGATATTCTTAGATTGTAACCTTTAGTTAGTCGGCATTGTATATAGCATCGACTCGCTTTTACATAGTTTGTTTATTGAAGGTTAGTTTAAATTCTTGGATAATAATGCACAATGGCATTCACGCAACCTTAATTTAATAGAAAACAAATCAGATTGTAATACTTTGATATGTAAGATCTTTTTATGAGAATGATAAATTTTGTTCATTATTTTATTATTTGATTTAATTGGCTTCTTAATAAAATTTAAGTATATTTTAAACATAATACGGATAAAAATAAAAAATTAAGTTTTTTTAATATTTATTAATAAATTTATCTTATAATTTGATTTTTAAACTAAAAAAAATTTGGGTAAAAAAATTTTTTTTTTTTTTTGTCAAGCATTAAATGTATAGATTTTATTAAACAGAATGTTTATGATTGATATATTAATAATCTTTGAGTAAAAATTTTTTATAAATTTTCACATATACAGTCTGGTTCAAAAAAAAATTATAAAAAATTATATTTTTAATTTTACTTATAATTTAATAACTAATAAATAAAATATTATAAATAAATATATACAATATATATATTTGAAACATAAAAAATAAGTTTACTTAATAAACTTTTAAATATATTATTAAAATATTCTTTAAAAAAAAAATAAATTTAAATTCATTAGAAAAATTTCTTAATAAAAAATTTTGTTTTATTTAATAATTTTTTTGTAAGTTGAAAATTTTTTTTTGTTTTTATAATTAATTTTTAAAAAAATTTACTATAATAAAAATTTATTTTCCAAATAGAATATACAGTATATTTATATTTATATTTAAAATTTGTAATTGTTTAAAAAAAATTTTTTTTAATTTTAAATTGATATTTTAAAATAAATTACTAATTAAATATTAATAAAACTTTAATATATTATTTTGTTTATTATAAATAATATATGTATATTAAAAATAAAAAAAAAAAACTCTCACTCGTTCACCACTGATTTCTTGAAATTTCCTTATATGGTAATTTTCTTGAAAGAAACGCTTTTCTCTCTCTCTTCAATATGCCAACTATGCCATAAGTTCAAGGACATAAGGACTTTAAAGACCACTGTTGCATTGGGATGGGATCTCTGGTCAAAGGCCAAACAAGTTTGGGAG